TCAGCGCCAGGAGACCCGGAGTCTAGTTTTACTTGCTACAGGTCCAGAGACTGTGTTCTGGGTGGGGGTGGGGGGTGGGGGCGCAGTCAGGCGACAGGGAGGGTGTACGTCTACCTCAGCATTCTGGGTAAATTGTCTAAAGCGACCTCCAAAGGCAGGAACATAGTCTCTCGGATTCTGGTGATCTGTTGTGGTTTTGCTTCTTATTCTAAATAGTTACTTTTATATGTAATGTTGCATTTATAATTTTGCATTCTTTTTCCTTAAAAAGAGCTCACAAAGTGTATAAACTCTCATCATAGAGACCCTGCAGGGCAGGGTACTGTGGTTTCCAAATGCCGACCTTGCAGTGAGCAGCCCAACGCCTCACACTACTGTAGCACCACACCACATGGCTTCCCCTTGCCCCTCGAATGAAGGTGCACTACAAATACAGTAAGGCTGCTGTGCCCTTTCTTAAAGCGACCCTGTATCGGGGGGCGTGTGGGTGGTGATGGGAGGGAAGGAGCAGGGAGAGCTGCTCCAGACAGAGGGGACTGAGTGACGACGGCAAGGAGCTTTTCACACAAGGAAGGAAGGCCAGGGCTCGGGGGCTGGTCTAGCCATTGAGGCCAGGGAGTGGTGAAGACACAGTCAACTTTGGAAACGACCCTTTGACTATTGTGATGGGTGCAGCATGGTGGGTACCAAGCAGGCCAGAGCTGTGGTGATGTGAGAGATGGTGGCGGCTCAGGCTGGGGTGGAGGTAGCAGCGCTGGTGGAATGCGGTCAGGTTGGATATCGACTTTGTGGGACAGACAATAGCATCGACTGGGTTGGCAGAGCCCGACTTTGCTGAAACAAAGACTTGGGAAAGTCAGCTTGAGGTATGAGGATGAGACACCTGTCACAGCCCGGGGGAGGTGTCTAGTGGGCCTGTGGCCGTTTGGGAGGCTTCAGCATACAGGCAGTTTTCAAAATCACAGGAGTGGACGTGATCACAGAGGAAGGGAGTAGAGAGAATGAGAGGACCTCAGAGGGGACCACAGAGAACTCCGCCGAAACAGAAAACTCAAGTAGGAGAGGACGGTGATGTAAAACAGGAGAAAGCAGCCAGAAGGAGGGAAACCAGGAGACGGTAGAATCTTGGAAGTCAAGAAGGTAGGGATGGTGAACAAGGCGAAATGCCACTTCGATGCTGATCAGGATAGACAGAAAAGTGAGTTTGGGTTTGGCAACAGTTCAGTAGGTACAGAGCTCTAAAAACCCAAACCAACTAACTGCCACCGAGTCGATGCTGACCCCTACTGACCCTATAGGACAGGGTAGTAACTGTGACGCTTTACGGGAGTCAAAAGCTCATCTTTCTCCCGAGGATCAGCTGGTGGTTTCAAACTGCTGACCAACGTGTACCCACTATACCACTGGGGCTCTTAGGAATCAGATTGGAGTGAATTAATGGAGGTGGGAAGCTGAGCGCAGTGACCAACACGTAACAACCCCCACCCCCACAACCAGGGGACAAACAACAGAAACTGCGGGGAGGGGAGACAGCGGTCGGTGTGAAAGATGAAAATAACCATGATTTATAATTTATAAAGGGGTCACGGGAGGGGTGAGGAGGGGTGGAGGGAAGGAAAAAAGAGGAACTTATACGAAAGGCTCAAATAGAAAGTAAATGTTTAGAAAATGATGTCAACGTATGTACAAATATGCCTGATACAACTGATGTATGGATTGTTACAAGGGATGTAAGAGCCCCCAATACAATGATTTGTAAATAAAAATAAATGGTACATGTTAAAAATAAAAACAATAAAAGAGGTTTAACTATGGAAGAGTATGCTATATGAATATACTAGAAAACTCCTTTAAGAAAGAAACCCAACTTGAGAACTTTGAAAAAAAAAAAAAAAAAGAAAGAAACCAAACTTGACCTATGGTTCCCATGGATGAAGGAGGAGTTTTTGCTTTGCTCAGGGGACACTGAGTTCATTTTAATGGTGGTGCAACAATTTGGAGAGGGATACCAGTGATGGTTACACAACACGGAGAGTAGTCAATGGCCCTGAATGATACATGGAGAAGTTGTTGAACCGGAGAATGTTTTGTTGTGTATATTTTTGCCAACATTGAAAAAAATTTCATGAATAACGAAGTGTATGGGGGGGGGAAGAAAGTGTTCTAAAATGGATTGTAGTAAAGAGTTTACAGCTCTGTTTGACATGGTTGAACTACTGAATTGTATGATATGTGGATGAAGTGCCAATAAACTGTTAAAAAAACCCACTTATACTGACCAATCATCAAAGAAGTAAACAAACAGTTAAAAATGCATACTCTCCCCACCAACAGTAAAGAAGTAAAAAAAAGCGCAAATCTGGCTTTTGGCTAAGTCCATCAGGTCTTCAGGATATAATAATTACACTTTTACACAAATGGTTACGGAAATACCCCCAAACCACAGCCACAGGCCAGACTGACTCTCAGTCTCCCCACAGCACTGAGCAGAAGTGCCCCGGGCAGCCCGCAGCATCTCTCTCCTGTGGAGCAACTTCTGCGTTCAAACCACCCACCTCTCCGTTAGCAGGTAAATGCTTAAGCACAGAGCCATCAGGGCTCCTGGGTCCAGAGAACAGAAGGAAAAATCTTCCATGTCTCAATTTATGATCAAAGTCAGATGAAGGTAGCATGAAAAAAAATAAGGTATGGTAGTCTCATCTCAGTTCCCAGACAGTTAAAAAAAAGCGCAAATCACATCTAATAATGCAGGAAAATAAAATAGCAAAGTAATTAAGCAAAGTTTCTTCTTCTTCTTCTTTTTTTTTAATGCAAACTTTATCCTAGGAAGTAAACTTAGATTAACATTAGGGAACTTATTAATTGCAACACATTAACATATTAAAGGGAAAATATATATAGTATTATCTCAGTATATCTTAAATACACACATTGATGATTTAAAAAATACTCATAGTAAGCTGGCAATAGAAAGTATTGCTGACAAAGGCTATCCACCAAAACCTGCCATCAATGCTGGATGGTGAAGTATTCCCTTTATAGCCCAGAATAAGGCAAGGGGACCCACCACCATCGCTTCTCTCCTGAAATCAAACAGGAGAAGATAATAAAGTGTGATAAAAGTCATGAAACTGGGAAGGAAGGTACAGCACCAACAATCACTGAAAATATGATTGCATACACAGAAAATCCAAGGGGAATCTAAGAGAAATGGCTGCAACGAATACGCTTGGCAAGTTGCTGAATACAATCTCAAAGCATGACAATCAGTGGTATTTCTATGTCCTGGCCAACACAGAAAACAGATATTGTAATTAAATATTTACAATAGCAATCAAAACTATAAGTTATCCAGACCTACATGTTTAATAAAAGATGTATAAGATCTTTATGAGGAAGATTATAAAATGGAACTGAGCCATGTTAAAAAAAAGTATGCCAACAAAGAGACACCATGGTTCAAAGACAGTCAGTATCATAAAGCTGTGAATCACATAAACAAGATTCATTTCAGTAAAACAAACAAGAAACCCCCTCCCCCAAACCCATAACCGTTTGGAAGAAGATCCTAGGTATGGCAGAATCTCATTTAACCAGGTATCAAAAATTGGGGGGCATCCTTTTTGGCTTAAGGGGGAGATCTTTTTATCTCGGGTCTATGGAGGAACATAGTTTGGGACGAACACTCCTGGCCTCTCTCCACCCTCTCATCCACGTCCCCTCAGAGGAGAAGGGCTTTCATGGATTGAATTGTGTCCTTGTAAGATATGCCAGGAGCCCTGGCGGTGATGTGCTTATACCACAGGCTGCTAACCACAGTCAGTTCCACTCCCGTGAACAGTGACAGTCTCAGGAACCCACAGGGGCAACTCTACCGTGTCCTAGAGGGTTGCTACGAGTCAGCATCGACTCGATGGCAGTGGGTAGTATGATACGGGATTAGAGGCAGCTATGTTAATAGGCAGGTTATAATCTACAGAATTAGGCTGTATCTCCAGCCAATCTCTTTAGAGTGAGCATACATCATAAGGGTCTCAGTAGGACCAGGAAAGAAACTGCTTGTGCTGAGCAGTTCCAAGACCACGAGAAAACTCAGGACCAGGGAGATCTCTGAGGACCTCGTATGAGACAACACCCACCCACCTACCTCCCCCCACAGCCAATGTCCTGAATCCAGACGTTGTAACCTGTGCGAGAAGACATTTCGGTTCTTTAAAGCCATTTACCGTGGCATTTTTGTTACGGCGGCACGAGACAGCTCAGTCCCACCAGGCTTCCTGCAGAGGGCTCGTCTGATTGCATGCGGCCCAGTAGAGGAGCCAGTGCTCCCCTTACATGATCGTTATAAATGACTGCCCATCACCCAAAGATGCAGGCCCCAAGAATCACTCTCAGTAGCTAGGATCAATAGTTTTCCATTTATTGGAGTGACGTGAATCACCCCAGCACCTTCTTTGCCTCACGTTCTCTGCCTACTGATTTGTAAAAGGGTCATGTCTGTCCTGACAAAACACTTTTAGACAAGCTTGCTCTCCTCACTGTACAATAGGCACCGATAGCAAATAGAAGTGTTCCCATATGTGCCCCCTCAGACAAGGTCCTGACCATCTACACGACCTGCTCCTTTCTTCCTTTTTCTCACAGCCCCCAACCTGATGCCTCGTCTAGGACCATGTCCTTCCCGTGTTCTTCAGAAAAGGCCAGGGCTCCTTTTCTGGCTCCAGTGCTGTCACCCAGTCTCCGCCTTCGCAATGCACTCAAGGATTCCACACCCAGCCAACCCCCAAACGTTCAAACCACATGCCCACCTCCAAATGTGCTTCCCCTGCCTTAGCCAACCTGGAACTGAGACCTGCACTAGTGTGCGGCTGCCTTTACTTCTCTTCACAAGAAACCCTGGGAGACCCACGTGGAGCCAAGTAGAAATGTGGAATCAGGACAAGTTTCTCAGGGGGACATGACCCAGCACATCATCTGTTACCGGAGATCAAGGTACTCACCACCTGACCATTAGCCCGTGCTCCAGGAAGTTTTTCAGGTTGGGAAGGGTTTGCCTCAAGTCTGGAGTTCCCAGGCCATGTTGATATCTTAGCTGCAAAGGCAGAAAACACACACTTAAAAAGAGACTCTGGCGGAGAAGGAGGCACACTGCACTCAACAAGTTGCTTCTTGACCTTTGAGATTGGATGTGAATGCATGATCTCAGCATCATTGGCCACAACGGTGGGATGCTAGTTTGAGTCAGGTAGCCAAGAGAGCGGCCTGGCAGGTACGACTAGTTCATTGTGCACTGTGCAAATGGTGAGATACTCAAGGTGACAAATGCCATCAGTCTTAAGGCTTGAATGTGCCTGCACTTCGATGTAAAGGTAGCTAGGGCAACCCTCTTTCTGGTTTGGTTACTCCTCGCTGTGTTTACTGGCCACCACTGCGGTGTGCCATTCAATGGACAAACCACCGGGTAGGGAACCTGTCCTCTCTCCACAGATGATCGTGAATCAATTGCTTTATAAATCGTGCTACAATGACTTTTTTCCCATGGAAAACAATCCATTTTTTAAATACAAACTTTTTATTGTGAATTAGGTGAAAGTTAATAAAGCAGATCAGTTTTCCATTCAACAACTCATCTACATTTTGTTTTGCCTCAGTGATTGCAATCCCTGGGATGTAACACTGCTGATCCCATTGCTTCTCGTTCAAAAGGAAACTTTCCACACGACACCATCAGCGCAAGTTGTCTTTGGTCCGAGAGTGGCAAGGGCCCCGTTCACTTCCCACTGCAGGGAGGGGCTAACAGAGAGCAGAGGCCTTCCTCACAGACACAGCTCTGCTGCCAAGTGCCAAGCCCGATGCCCCTGAGTAGTCTGAACACACACATAAAGTACGGAGGTAAAAACTAAGAATGCTAAAAAGCACCCTGAAGATTACTTAAGTCGATTGTCCCTTCCGATGGGGAAACTGGAGGCCAGAAAGGGGCAGTAAATTCTACAGGATCACATGGTTTGTTGGCAAAGATACTATCAGCCAAGGCCTCCTTTTCAAAAACCATGCTAGTCCATCATCCATCTCAAAGTCTGAGGAAAAATTGCTAACAATATTGGAGAAAGCAGAGGGTACCTATTTTTTTTTTCTTTTTTCAAAGCTAGCTTGGTGACCTAAGTTACCTCCTGAGATTTACTGACCTTGAATTATAAGATCTACCCCATATTAAATGACATCACTTCTTGTATTAATATAAAAAGCATTTTTTCCTTACATTGATAAAAGCAAAATGGCTGATGTCCCAATATGACATTCCTGCATTCATTGTTTCAATAAAAAAGTAAAATTGTTTACACATGGGCATGGAAAGTTCACCTGTGAGTCATACTGAAAAATATTATATATATATATCTCCATACTGAAATAACACCAGGCTATGCGTCTCTGAGTCTCGGAACCAGTACACAGCCAATGGGAGGTGGGGAAGGGGAATTCTCAGAGACTACAGTGAAAATCTCTCTCCATGTCTCTTTTCAACCAAAAATTGGCACATGTGGGAAATTCACGCCTCCACCCAGGTCTTAACTCTATTTGCTGCGCTGCGCTGGCATGTTTACCATGGAATTTCAGGCGCTTGGAGCTTAAAGAGTCTGTGAAGAGCAGCCTTTTCAATCCTTTTCTACTGACAGATGAAGAAACTAAGGCCAGTGTCCTCTTGCTCGAGGTGACAGAGCTAAGACGGGACAAGAATCAAGGCCAGAACCTCTTAGTAACAGCTCTAAATTGCTTCTCGACATCACCATTTAAATTCTGAACACAGAACTACAAAACCGCATACCAACACACCAACAGACAACAAGACCCACGCGACCACGTCCATTCCGATTCACAGCAACCCTAGACGGGGGCTTCCGAGGCTGTCCAGCTGCATACAAGCAGATAGCCTTCTCGTTCTCCCGTGGGGGTTAGCAACCCAATGCTTACCCAACAGCATGTTCTCCTTAGGAACACAGCACCTGACGTCTAAAATGTATAAGCTAATTTTTCATTAAATACTACATGTACTATTTAAAGTCTAAAACTACTACAAAGCTTAAAACAACACATAGGAGTTCTTTGCTATGGAGTGACAACTACTTTGAGCTGTTTCTTCTTATCTTTCTATTTGTAAATAGTAGGCTTATAGTAATAGTTCTTATTATTTTCCCTCCATTTTTAGACATCATTTACCATGTTCCTATCTGTGATATGTAGGTTTATTGTGCCAACCTGGCCAATCGGAACATGTGGGATTAATATGGTCGCAGTTTGATTGGAGGGCAGAGATAAATGGCTCAGCAAGTCCTGACTCTTTCTCTTGGTGATGGGACCAGCGTGTGGCTGCTAGTTCTTTCTCATCTTGTGAGCTACACTACATGTGGGACTGCCAACCTAGGGATCGTGTCGCTAGAGCTCGAGGTTCCTTTGAGATGTGCTTCACCATGCTGCTGGTGTGTACACTGCTTGAGCTTGAGACTGTCAGATCCTGTTGCCTTGCTGACTGCTGGTGACCCGCCCTGCTGTTTGCTGCCTGTGGCTGGACTGCCTGCATTGCCTAAAGGAAGACTCAGCTGTCTGCTTCCTTGACCTTGGACCTAGCGGCCCTCATGAGTTGAAGGACTTCCAGTATATTAACTGTTCCACAGAAGTGAGTTGAACTGAGCCCTCTGTACTGCTGCATGGACTAATAAGCTGTTATATTCCTCCGTGCTGCATTCATCTATCCATATATATATAGAATCATACGTGTCCTGGTTTTGTTTCTCTAGAGCAGTGGTTCTCAACCTTCCTAATGCCACAACACTTTAATACAGTTTCTCATGTTGTGGTGACCCTTCAATCATAAAATTATTTTGGTTGCTAATTCATAATTGTAATTTTGCTACTGTTATGAATCGGGTGACCCCTGTGCAAGGATCATTCAACCCCCAAAGGGGTCAGGACCCTACAGGTTGAGAACCGCTGCTACAGACAACTCTGTCTAACACAGTATCATGAAAGATAAAAGACATTTGATCTCTTCTCACATGCAACCTATACCAACTTAAAAAAAAGTTAAGCTATTTGTGAGTTGGATAAAGAACAGATCAGTTTTCCACTCAACAACTCATATAAAATCTGTTTAATGCCATAGGTTTTAATCCCCACAAGGTCACTTCATGGACCCCACTGCTGTCCGGTGTGTCCTTCTGTTCTAGCCCTTCTGAGCCTTACTCCTGGGAAAATGCTGCTCCCCACCACCCCTCAAATGGTTGATTATTCCAAGGCAGGGGTGGGGCACTTACAGGAACCAGGCCATAAAATACCTCGTCGATACCAGCTAACATCAACCTCAGAGAGGCAATTCCAGCCATCATGAGGGTGAGTGAGTGAAATATTTGACTAGTATGGCTCACAAATGATATTATAAGTTATCCAAAAGGCCCTTGGTGGAATAAAAGCTTCCCCACCCCTGTTCTAAGGGTGGCACACCCTATTTTCTAGCGCTGTTCCCTTCATACGACTGCATTGTTTGGCTCAAAACTGAGCTTTGCAGACTTGAAGAGTGACTAAGGACCCAGTCTTAGGAGGTCCATCGATCTCTATCTGACCAGTAAGCGTGGTCGTTAAAATTCTGAGGTCTCTTCCCTATTTTTTCTCCTCTCTCTCCAGGACTTCCTAAGGGGATCCCTTTCAAAGCAGCTGGTAGCAGTAGCTGGGCACCATCTAGTTCTTCTGTTTTGGGTGTTGTGTGGCCCATCAGTCCAGTGGAATATTTATTTCCATGTGTCCTCAATTCCCTTCTCTCTTCTTCCCTCCAGACAGGGGGACCAATAGCTGCACCTTGGCGGGCTACTCATGAGCTTTTAAGACCCCAGTTGGTATTCACCAAAGATGTAGAACATTGCCCCTATCAATTATGTATCATGCCAATTGACTTTGGTGTCTCTGAGATCATGGTCCTAAGCACCCAAGCCCAGCGACCTATTCCCTCGTGGTGTTTGGTTATATAAAGACTTATCATGAATAGGAAGACTCTCTTTCCCCCAGCTCCTATCCTCTCAATATATTCAATATCACATTTTATTAAATTATATTTAGTGCTTACTTTATTGTATCTACATAAACTATTACTAATTACAGCTATACAGTATAGTACCCCTTTCCTGTACTTATTAACTTAGTTTAAATAGTTTAAGGAGAACATCTAATATGTTTCAAATGGAGCAGAGACAAATCATCCGGATGAAGAAGAACATTCGCATGAGGCCAGAATGGCATCTGAGGATTCATAGTCAGGATACTAGTTAAATAAGGCACAGAACAGCTCACAGCTGGGAAAACACTGCACGACTTAACAAGACTTAATAAAGTTTCTGAAAGTCTCGACACACCGGTTTGTAATTCCAAGAGTGCTTATCCTCTTGGAGTCTCCCAGGGTCCATGGAAATTTGACAGAAAGCACCCTTCCCGTCTCAGAAGCCATGTTTCCTTGACCCTCCAGAGAGCCCACCAGGAAAGACAGCTTTGCAATCCTGTTTCCTGACGACACCATTTGTATTAGGGTAGCAAGGAGACCCCAATCTCAAATGCAGTTTAAGGAAAACATTTATGAAGTCTTAAATGGGCCAAAGACAAGACAGATGCACATCACCCACATGAGGGAGGCCATTAGCATGAGGCCAAATGGCATTCCCTGTGCTTTAAATCTTTTTAATGAATAACTGCCTTTTTTTCTTAAAGATTTTAAATGTACCTATTGCTCTATCCTTCCCAAATTCTCTGATAAAACATTAAAGTCCTGCCAATATAACACATGATGTAAAATAGTAAGTCCATCTTCCTACTTGTAGATCTTTAAAAAAAATCATTTTATTGAGAACTCATACAACTCATCACAATCCATCCATCCATTGTGTCAAGCACATTTGTACATTTGTTGCCATCATCATTTTCAAAACATTTTCTT